CGGTACACTTCATACTGGTGAAGATAACCGGAAGAGTGATCTCCCGGGGCTCGATCCATTTGAAGCGCAATGGCTAGCCTCTCTGTTCCTTCCTTTGAGAATGGTGAAGGAGATGATGATTACCTCCAACATGGAAATGAATCCTTTGTGAGTAATCACCGTCACATCCAAGAACTACATCGTCTATCAGCCTTCCAACAGGTGACCACAAAAGTACCGCCATCATTTGATGGGCGAGGCAGTTGGTTCGCCTATGAACATGCTATCGATGATTACATCTCATGGGGTGGGGTGGGGTGGAGTGGGGTGGATCATGGTTTTCGTACTGAAATGATGTGAAATGACAGTTTTATGGAGTTTGCAGTTTGCAGTCCTTTGGAAACATCGGACACAAAGATGTTTCGTCATAACGTGTAGGACATACTGTCACGTCGCCTGACTTAACAACTTGCAAGATTTGAATAGGTAACCCCTAGACAACTACGGCAGCAGAGCTGAGTCACAGCAAGTCTTGCTGTAACACAGCTGTTTACTAGGACGCCAGCGACGCGAGGAGGCCACATCATGGTCACATCAACCTGACTTTTCCCAACGCGGTGCGAAGAGATACATCATGGTCACATCAACATGGCTTTTCCCATGTAGACGCCGCGTCAGCAAGGCTGCATCCAGTAGACAAAAACACATGGCAACCAAGCCATTCCCCATGTCGACGCCCGATTTCAGAAGCATCCGCGCAAGACAAACATCAGTGGAATCAAAACACGCCAGAGCCAGCCATTCATCAAGTAGACGCTCGGTTCACTGCAAAGCTCCGGGTTTGTCAATCTAAGAATAAAGAACACTGTACTGAAGGATCTGCCAGCCGAACCTAGATACGTTGGCGGCTTGGATTAGAGTATGGCAGTTGGCTATGCTTGCATTACAACGATCTCTGACCGAAGCATTAGACCAGGAAGCGAAGCGTACAGTGCCACTGCAAGCCCATCATACACGGTATGCGTACAAACTCATGAACTAAAATGGATGTCAGCTCTCATGCAAACAAAGCAAGATTCGTCGCAGCCTTTTTCAGACACAGACCAGAGAATCTGTCAGCATGGATCCAAGACATTCTGTTCGACTGTAGACGTTGTCACACATGAACTGAATCGTTCGAACCTAAAAATTGTTTAATAGCTGAGAACAGCGCGACTAGCACATTCACTGCTGACATGTCCTGCGTAGATTCTGCAAGCACGCAGAGCTGCAATCCGGAATCAACGTGATCACGAATCACCATTTAGGCGCTCGGGGAGACAACCACTTCCGACTGCTTTTTCCGATAGGGATTCCATATACAGCATGCGCTCAAAGTCATGCATTGAAATGGCTTGTGCAATGATCCAAACACCAAAAGACAGGTCGCACCTTTTTGTCGAGCGCAGACCAGAGGAGCTGCTCGCATTGACGTCAAGGCTTTATGTACGACCGTAGACATTGTCACACATTGGCTGATTCCTTCGAACCACAGAAGTTGTTAACAGTTCGAAGCACCAGGACTTGCATGCTCTGTTAGTACACGTTCTGTGTGACAGACGTCTACGTCTAGGCGTATGCATGCTGCGTTTTACGCTTCCCAGCTCTACGCAAAGAATCTTGCCGTTCAAGAGTGTGAGGTGTACGACGCTGGGACTGCGACTTCGACGGCGCCGCTGGCCGCTTGAGAGGTCGCTGTTTGACTAAGGATTTCTGCTCCGCTCGTGCCGTCTGCAGACTCAACTCAGCTTTGCCGACAAGGCCTGCTTCGACACCAAGCTCTTCACACCACGCTTTCCATTCGGGCAAAGTCCAGAGTACACGAGAAGAACTCCTAGACAGAATCTCCCACTCTGACATTTGCCGCGTGGCGGGACGATACAAAGCCGTGTTGTGTGACAAGAGCTTTGCCAAGTGCATAATAGATAACTTCAAGCACAGCGTTGCCTTGTGAATCTTCTGCGTCTCACGAAACCAATTATTGATTTCGTGGTGCAAAGCTTCGTTTGAAGTTGTCCCTATTGGGAGCAAAGACAGTCGAGAAGGCTCGATCAGATGCCGCATTCTTAGGTTATTGAAATACCACTCGGATCTGCCTGCAGCTGCGGCCGAGTGAAGCAACTCAAAAACTTTGCGGTTGGGACCGGGAGCTACACGCTGTACTTCTGCGCGATACACCGAAGTTAAAGCTGCCAGTGCTCGGATCCAGTCCACGCGCAAAATAAAGGGCGCGTCTGGCTCGAGATTGTCAAGCAAAGCCTGGGCGTCACGCAGACGCATGCTTCGATCCTCGATCTGCGCACGCAGCCTTTCCTCCTCTCTTGAAAGATTAGCACACGTCTGTCCAGTATGTGCTGCTCCCCATGTTGTCGGCTTGAGTCCACTGCTGTAGGCGGTCAGCTTTCGTAAAATTCGCCGCAAAGCTTTTGAAATTGGTGTTCTTCTACGACCAGATGCATACTCGACAGTCATTGCCAGATGAACAGGGTCCAATGCCATGATTTGTAAATTAGGACAAATCAGCTTGACCTCTTGCAAATACTTGAAGGATGGATTGTCAACTGACACAAACTGAATCTGACTCAGCGCCCTTGACGGCAAAGCATCCGCAAGGCCACGTACAACGGCTGCCGAGTCGTCAGATGACACCGCCTGCAGAGCCAGAACTGCGTTAGTGCGGCCTCTGCACGTCAGTACCTCAGTCCATGGGATCTTTTACCTACAACTGCACATGACTCAATAACAAAAAAAGCTTACAGATGAGTTAATGAGTTGCTCGTGTCAAGGCAGTCTCTCCGGCGAACACGGCTTGCTCCTTCTCCTCTTTCCTTGCCCGAGGATGCGCCTGACCAAGAACAGGAAGACAGCAGCGCAACGTGGCGTCCAAGCTGATAACCTGGAACTCCTCGTGACGAGTCGTTTCATCCAATAGTTGCTTCGCTAGATCGCACACCTTTTGGGACTTGAAGACGTCTTCGATCAACGGCCACCAGTGGCTGGGGTGGCGCGGCAGCAAGCTGCCCGACTCGGCGGGGAAACGAGCAATCAGCCTGCCGTGCATGGCATAGACCTGAAGTCGCACAGAAAAAAATTACTTCCCCCTTGCACGCAAGCACAGCGACGCTACATAATGCTGCTGAGCTGCCTTCGCGTTACATAGCAACATCTCTTGGAACACGATTTGCGCGAAGCCCTGACTATAATACAGATTGCGAACTCGCCGAAGCATCAGTTGCTTGACAGCGCTTGCGTTC